AATTACTAAAAATAAAAATGTCTGCCCCATTCTACTGAGAGATCTTCAGGGAAAATATTCTAGTAGTCCGGGTTAATTTTTTTTTAACTCTATAGTTTTTGTGGACATAATTACCAAGTCAAAAAAGAATTTGCCTATGAATCATCGGTTATTTCAACGTCCTAGGCATCTCTAAAAATAAGCTGCCAGACAACCTGAACCTGGAAAAGAATTGAAAATTTCCCCATTCAGATGTATTCTTGTTGTTCACTGGTAAGTGCAGGAATTTTTAGAAATCAAGTTGCATTCTCGATGTTCACTGCATTCAATAGCATGGATGTCATAAAAATATTCCCTTATTTATCTGTATGCCTAATCATTAAACTGTAGTATGAAGTAAATACTCAATAATTCACTTGAAATACTCCTCTGTAGTTACTGCAGATTTGAGTGTGACTATTTAAATGTCACCCAATGAGGCAGAGTAGGATGATTACCAACCACCTGCCCATCAAATATATTCCTCTTGAAAGGCATCAAAACTCATGCGCTTGCAGGTAAGAAGCATGGTATAATTATTTCATTTTACTTTAATAAATCATGCCTCAGTTTACTACTGTGAGCCAGGGAGGATTGAAGAGAAAGTGGAATGGACTAAAAACTCTGAGAAATAAAGCACAGCTAAGGAGACAGCCAGAGAAGTTGTAGTTCTGAAATTGGCTGCTTTCTCTCAAACACTGAGAGACTTTCTTTCTAATAGAGATTAGCTTATTTTTCTCACAAAGGTGGAAGGGGACATTTGGAATTTTTTTTAAAAATCACACACTGCTGTATAGGAAGAAAAATTTAACAATACAGTGAGACCCCCAGATCTTTCACACTGATATTAATTAAAACATAAGGCATGTCTATTCTGACAAAGACCAAATACACAATTATATAAGCCAAGATTCATCATCTTTCTCAACATCATCATCCACTGAATGTTTACTGTGTGCCAACAAGTTACGTGCTTTTGAGGCAACCTCACAAAACCTTTATGAGCCACGTACTTTCATGAGCCCCTTTTTTCAAATGAAGAAATTAAAGCCTACAGAAGTTGTAATTAACTGGTCCAAAGTGGCTAAGCTACTAAAGATCTTCTCACTCCAAAGTCCCAGTCTTCCCAAAGAGCAAAGAAGAGATTAATGTGGCTCTAGAATAAAAATACTCTGCAGTATTTGGATAAGAAAATGAGCATTATGGGAAGGAGAAAGCACACAGGATGAAAAGAGAAGAAAACAAGTTATGTTTGTGGTATAACTAGGAGACTGACCGAGTCAGTGGAGGATTTGTATTGAGAAATGGTAGGAAGCAAGCTAGAAGAAAAGACTGGGGGCAAATCAGTCAAATAGATTTCAATGCCAGTCTAAAACCCAGGGCAATTGGAAGACGTTGCACATTTTTTATCAGAGTCCAATACTTGAATAATCCTGTGCTTGTTTTAGGAAATCACACAGGATCATCAGAATTTAGAGCTAAAATTAATTTTATTGACAATCTGGTTAAATACTTTTAATTTAGGGATTAGACACTGAGATTGATGTTAAGGTTCCCTACTCTTTGCTACTTAAAAGTCAAGATAAGTGAACATTACATTTAGCTGAGAAAAGAAATAGCCAGTAACTACTTTTTGAATATGAACCTTTTAATCACTGTTACATTGTTTTATTCCTTGAGAATCTGTGATCTTCTAAAGAAAACAGATTCCTATTTTTATGGTAGGAACTTTATGAATGTAGGCACTTAGTGAAGAAGTAATATAAGTGGTACCAAACACAGAAAATGGATTTAGGAGAAATAAGTGACATGAATTGGGGGAAGGTCATAGGCCCATTTAGCCATGTTCCCCAAGACCCCCAGTACGCCCTTCACCCATAACTACTCACTGACATGGGGGCTTTCAGGTGAATGCCATGGAGATTGCTGGGCAAGTAGCATGGAGAAGACCAATCAGAAAATGCCTCGAGTCACTTGCCTATGTACAATATCTCCCCTTTCAGGCTCTTTGCATTCTGCACTTTCTCAATATTCAGCTACGTCAGATCCTTTTCTCATTTCATTTCATTCATTTTTTTTTAAGAGATAGGGTCTCACTGTATTGTCCAGGATTGCCTCAAATTCTCAGGCTTGCCTCAAACTTTCAGGGCTAAAGCCATACTCCCGCCTCAAGCCTCCTGTGTAGCTGGGACTACAGGCTCATGACACTGCATCTGGCTCTTTCTCTTAATTCTGACCACTGACTTCTAGAATTTCCGGCTACATCACACTGTAATGTGAGCTTATATGTATTTATAGAGGCTGCCAAGAAACAGTCCCAGAAGTGCTGTGTTCCAAATCTGAGAACAGAACTTTGGTTTACTTAATGTATTGTTTGATTTTTAGGCTAGGGAAGCAAATGCATCCTTAAAACCAACTTATGTCCGTCCTGCCTCTGGGAAGCCTTCTCCAACACAGACTTCTTCAAACACAGAAATTATATTTCCAAAAAAAGGTGTGGAAAAGCCATGTCTGATAAATTTCAGTTCTCATAACATAGGCGTTAAGAAAAAGTAAACAATAAAAATGTCATTGAATATATGCATTCACATGTGCGACAAACATAGATAATGCAAATAAAAGTGGTGAAGGCTACCCACTTTCAAAAGCTCATGCCACTTCATTCCAGCCTGGGCAACAGAGCAAGACTCCATCTCAAAAAAAAAAAAAAAAAAAAAAGAAGAAAAGAAAATGATTAGTATAGTTTTGTTGCCAGAAAAGGGGTCTTGTCCCAGACCCCAAGAACGGGTTTTTGGATCTCACACGAGATGGAATTTTTGGGGAGTTACAGTCTAGTGGCATTAAGAGAGTTTATTAGCCACTACTCAGTTACAGAGCAGGGAGTCCTCAGAAAGCAAGAGGAGGAACGCACCTGTTTTAAAGAAAAAAAAACTTTAAAGACAGTTTTACTTTAGTCACAATGACATGATCTCGGCTCACAACAACCTCTGCTTCCTGGGTTTAAGGATTCTCCTTCCTCTACCTCCCAAGTAGTTGATATTACAGGTGTGCACCACCATGACCAGCTAATATTTTTCTATTTCTCTTCCATTTTTACTTTTTTATTAATTTTTTAAATTCAGTGCCCTTAGAGACTGCCAAAAATTGCAAATGCCAACTGTATTTCCAGTCGTCATGGCAGGGTATTGGGAAAAGTTTTCAATTACCAATAACCATGAATCAGATAAACCTCGTTGGCTATGATACTGCCACTGTGCAAAGCTATTTTTTTGTATTCTTAGTAGAGACTGGGTTTCACCATGTTGGCCATGCTGGTGTCTAACTCCTGGCCTCAAGTGATCCACCCTCCTCGGCCTCCCAAAGTGCTGGGATTATAAGTATGAGCCACTGCACCCTGGCCTTAGTGTTTGTTTATCTAGGTTGTTAACAATAGTGTTGTCTCTTATAAAGGACTGTGATCAGTTTGTGTCAGGCTATTAGTATTTTTACTTTTCTATGTCACTATTGATTTAACAATAATTTATCAGCGTACTATTATCTTTAGAGTAAAACTTATTTTTACATTAAGAATGCTTTTTGCTTAAAGTACTGGTATATTTTTATAAGTTTTGGGTCTTTATTTAGTTATTAACTTGTTCCTGCAACCACAAATATTTTATAACCAAAGGTGGTCAACCCCTAAATATATAATCCAACAAATTCAACATGTGTCTATGTGTGTGCGTGTGCGTGTGTGTGTGTGACAGGGTCTCACTCTGTCTCTCAGGCTTGAATGCAATAGTGTGATCATGGCTGGCTCACTGCAGCCTCAAACTCATGGGCTCAAGCGATCCTCCCGCCTCAGCCTCCTGGGTAGCTAGGACCACAGGCGTGCGCCACCACGCCAGCTAATTTTTATATTTTTTGTAGACATGAGGGTCTCGCTATTTTCCCAGACTGATCTTGAACTCCTGATCTCAAGCGATCCTCCCGTTTTGGCCTTCCAGAGTGCTGGGATTACACTCATGAGCCCTACACCCTGCCCAGATTTAACTTTTATTTAAAATAAAGTCACTGTGGTTAAGATGCCTCTGAGAGTTTTGCATTTTAAATGTGAAGGCTATGTTGACTGAATTTTTCCATCAGCTGTAAAATGTGCATCCATATTTATTTCATTCCTATGGTTTCCAATCAATTGTCCCTTCTTCCTTTTTAGAAACACACGGGCTGGTGGGCTCCGTGTCAGCTTGCATTTCCAGAACGATGGCACTGAACACTCGGCACTCCGACTTCAAGTGGTACAGCAGGATGGCCACCAGAGGGCCCATGCAGTGCCGCCGGCCACCAGCAGAGGGCGTGCTGGAGCAAGGCTGCATAACCGCCTAACAGCCAAGCTCCTCTAACAATCAGAAGCCCGGCTTTACATAGGCTTACAACTTGAGATATCACACAAGAAAGGGTCTTGGGTTTACAGTTTTAGAAATTACATGTGAAGGGGTCTTGGTCCATGGAGTAGGTGTGGGGTGGGGGTTTGAACTTGTTTAAGTAAAAACAATGCCTTCCGGAAAGATTCCCCCACACCATGCCTGTGATCTATAGGAGGGCGATTAAGGTGGCGCCCAGTCGGCCAGCCTTTACTTCTATTGAAATGCAGTGTGGAAGTCAAGGGGGAGGTGATCTTAGATGCTTGGGTCTCCTTCCTCACTAGGTCACCTCCCACGTGCACACGGCCACTCTCCCACGTGGGCTACTTTCCAGTCTCACTTACAATCGCTCTGAGTGACTGTGGGAAAAGACAGCTATGGAGCCTGTCCCTTCTCCAAGTCACTCTGCTGATAGACCTGCATAACTCATCTCACTGAACCCTATACCGGCCTGGGAAGAATACCTCTGCCACTGTATTTTAGACAAAGACTATGAGGTGGTCAGGCACCAGGGCTCACACCTATAGTCCCAGCACTCTGGGAGACTGAGGCAGGTGGATCATGACAACAGGAGTTCACTGTTGGAAACAATGGATTTCAATCCATGAGAAACAATATTATTGCAGAGGGCTCCAGAATAATGATCTCAAAGGAGCACTAAAAAGCTAGCAGAATGAAAAACCCCCTTTTCTCCAAGTCAGAGATGTGAGGAAAATCTGCAAGGAGGAAGTCATGCCCTTGGCATAGAAGCAGCTTGTTCCTTGGGAAAAGAGGTAGATCTGGAAGAGCAGGCCAAAGTTGGACAGTAAGCCAAACAGAAATATTGCTGAGCAGAGTCAAGAGGCTGGGGACTTAAGCATACATTTTGGGAGTACCCATAGATGACAGATGGAGAAACATGTCATAAACCCAGCTTCAAATGGCGTTTTGGCATAAAATTATTTTGCTGCCCAAACTGACATTTAATTTTGGTCGAAATGAAATAGACATACCAGCCATCAACTTTTAACCATGTAATTAACCAGCTCTGAATAATGCCATGTCTTTTTACTTTAATGTTCTTTTGAAGATGGGTAATAAATGAACAATGTGCCTGGCCACAGTTTATTTCTAAGTAGAATTCTTTTCCTTCAAAAATTCTGGTTGGAAAATGTGCAAAACCTTTATACAGAAAATTATATAACAATATTGAGAAAAAAATAAAGACCAAAACACATGGAGAAGAAAACATTTATGAATCAGAAGAATCAATGGTACAAAGATTTCAAGTTCCCATTATAGCAGGTATAACTCAAAACAAAACAAAACAAATTTTCAGTTATTCCAAACTGATTCAACACAATTCCAATCAAAATCCTTACAGGTATTCCTGTGGAACATCACAGCCAATTCTAAAATATATGTGGAAATGCACAGGGCCCACTGCTACACATAACCAAGATTTATTATCCACTGAATATCAAGACATAAAACTTGACAAGTGATTCTCAAACTTTTCAGTTTGACATTCCTGTAAATATTGAGATTCTAAAATGCTTTAGTTAACATGGGTTATAGCTATTACATTTATCCCATTAAAAATTAAAACAGGAAATTTTATTTATTTATTGAGAAGGAGTCTCCCTCTGTCACCCAGGCTAAAGTGTGTGGCACGATCTCGGCTCACTGTAACCTCTGCTTCCCAGGTTCCAGCAATTCTCCTGCCTCAGCCTCCCAAGTAGTTGGGATTATGAGCATGTGCCACCACATCCCACTAATTTTTTATTTTTAGTAGAGATAGGGTTTCACCATGTTGCCCAGGCTGCTCTTGAACTCCTGACCTCAGGTGATCTGCCCACCTCAACCTTCCAAAGTGCTGGGATTACAGGCATGAGCCACCATGCCCGGCCAAAACAGGAAAGTTTTAAATATCAATTCATTCATTTAAAAATAAAAAGAAATCTATTGTATGCTAACATAAATAACAGTTTAATGAAAAATCACTGTTTTCCAAAACAAATAAAAAAAGATGAGTGAGCAGAGTGGCACTTTTTGACATTTTTGGAAATCACCTTTATTTGGGAGACAGCTTGGTTTTCTTATCTGCTTCTGCATTCAATCTGTTGCAACATTGCATTTCATGTGGCCTCTGGAAAACCCTATTGTACACTTGTGGGAGAATGAGTCTGAGGCAAAAAATCACCAAGTGTTGCTATCAAAATAGTTTTGACCTGGCCAACAGCCTGCTCTGAAAGGGTCTCAGGAATAGAAGAGGCAGGCAAATCCTTGTATATTCAAACACCTGATTTATGACCAAGGAAGCTCTACAGAGTGGGAGGCGATGGTCTTTTCAATAAATGGAACTAAACAACATCAACATCATCATCATCATCATCATCATCATCATCATGTGTCATCTAGGAAAACAAACTGACCCCATCTCACACCACACACACAAAAATTCCAGAGACTGTTGATTAAAATGTGAAAGACAAACAACAGCAAATAATGGACATTATCTTCACACAGGGATACAAAAACTCCTAATTACAAAGGAAAAGTCAGAAATGTTCAACTACATTTAAAACAAGATTTTCTTTAATCAGAGAGATGGAAATCAAAACTACAATGAGGTATCATCCCACTCAAGCTGAAACGGCTTTTATCAAAAAGACAGGCAAGATAGATGATGGCGAGGATATGGGGAAAAAGGAACCCTTGTATACTGTTGTTGGGAATGTAAATTAGTACAATTGCTATGTGGAGGTTCCTCAAAAAAAACTAAAAATAGAACTACTGTGTGATCCAGCAATCCCACTGCTGGGTATACACCCAAAAGAAAGGAAATGAGTACATCGAAGAGATTCCTGCACTTCCATGCTTACTGCAGCACTATTCACAATAGCCAAAATATGGAATTAACCTAAGTGTCCATCAATAGATGAATGGATAAAGAAAATGTACTTTTACACAATGCAGTACTATTGAGCCATCAAAATGAATGCAATCCTGCCATTTGCAACAACATGGATAAAACTGGAGGATGTCATGGTAAGTGAAATAAGCCAGGCACAGAAAGACAAACATTGTACTTTCTCACCCATATGTGGGAGCTAAAGAAAAAAAATTGAACCCATATAGACAAGAGTAGAGGACAAGAAGGGAAGTGGGAAAAAAGGAGGGATGGGTGAATGGGTACAAAAATACAGTTAAAAAGAGTGAGTAAGTCTAGTGTTCAGTAGCACAATAGGGCAACACAGTTAACAGTAATTTATTTTGTATTTCAAAATAACAAATAGACTAGAATTGGAATATTCCTAACATGAAGAAATGATAAATGCTTCAAGTGATGAGGTACTCTACCCTAATCTGATAATTATGCATTGTATGCTTGCATCAAAATGCCACATCTACCCCATAAATATGTATGGTTATTATGTATCCGTAATAATTAAAATTAAAATTAAAAATTTTTCTGTTAGTGAAGAGATACCTTTAAGAGAATAAAAAGGCTAGCCACCAGCTAGTAAAAGATAACAGCAACACAGAGATGGGGCAGGGAGGGGAGGGGATCAATATATTTATCCCTTATACAAACCAATTAAACAAAAAACACCTGTCAGAAAATTAGGCAAAAGACTTAAGACTTCAATGAGCTCTTCAAACAGAAGACATCCAAATGGCAAAAAAAATAAAATAAAATAAAAATCCATATTAAAAGGCTGTTCAACCCCATTAGTAATCAGAGAAATGTAAATTAAACCAAACTGGAGTGTTAATTAGTACAACCACTTTAAGAAACTGTTCTGTCATTTCTAATATCGTTAAACACTCACCTAACCCATGACCCAGAAATCCACTCCTAGACATATACCCAAGAGAAATAAGTATATATAAGAATGTTCATAGCAGCTTAATTCATAATATCTAGAACCAATCAATGAGAAAATGAATAAACAAAGTGCAATATGATCATACAACAGAACTCAGCAAGAAAAAAAGAATAACCAACAACTTGGATAAACTGCAAAAATCCATTATGCTGAGCAAAAGAAGCCAGACACAGTAGAGTCCATACTATCTGAGCTCATTTATGTGAAGTTCAAAAACAAGCAAAACACATGTATGGTGGCTGAAGTCAAAACATTGTGAACAGAATAGCAGCTTCTTTCTGGAAAAGAGTGTGAGATAACTTTCTGGGGTCCTGGAAATATTCTATATCTGGGTGGTGGTTATATAGATACATTTATATGTAAAATATTCTTTCAGGTTGTACATTTTCATATTTTATTGTGTATGACATATACCTCAGTTATACACAAAAACTCATTATATACCTATTAGAATGGTTAATACAATTTAACAGATTAACAATTCTAAGCCTTGGCAAAGAGGTGGATAAGCAAGAATCCTCACACATTGTTGGCAGGAATCTAAACTAATGCAACCACTTTGGAAAACAGTGTGGCATTGCTAAGTAAAACTGAAGATATACAAAAAATGTTTATAGCAGCAGTATTCGTAATTGCTCTAAACTGGAGACAAATATCCATCAGTAAGAGAGTGAATTCTGGGCATGGTGGCTGACATCTGTAATCCCTGTACTTTGGGAGGCCAAGGCAGGTGGATCACCTGAGGTCAGGTTTACTTAGTTGTAACTATATGCTCAGCTCTACACATAACAAGGCCCAAATTCACCTGCCATTTTGCCTCCCACAGAAAGAACCACTGGAAAGATCACTCCTTTAAGAGCTTGTCCACTCCAAATCACACCTGACATTCAGAGAAGCTTAAGAAACACTGGAGAGGTGTGGCACGCTGCCAGGCAGTACTATCTGATGTGAAAACTATATAGAAACAAAACTATCAATGCCCTCTTGCTATCAGAATGTCCCAATGCTTTCCCCTCTCCCTAGGGGAAAAAAATTCTTTTTTAACCTCATATAAAGCAAAATTATGTGATTTCCTTGCCATCTCTCATAACAGAGAATCTAGTCATAGGTGAGTTATGCCATCATAATACAGACTATTTTCAAACTCATCCCTCAAAGGAAGCGGATCAGTGAGGAGCATGGGTATTTACCTATAGCATTCACTGCCTGGTCTTATTTCCAACTGAAAGTACATATGGAAGACTTTGTGATTCCAGTATTATGAAGTACAACCTCTTGAACTTGTTCCCTTCCAAGGAACAGAGAGTCTATCTGAACCCACTCCGTAAACGAAGATGCTCCAGTTTGTGCTGTGTGGTAATTCGTGGTGTCATTTTCCTCAATCCTTTCCATTATGTGGCAAATATCTACACGGATCATGTTTTCTAAATATGTAAAGCACATGTTATCAAATCTTATAATAAAAATAAAACAGTAGAAAAACAAAAGGACAAAGTATAACTTAAATGACTACATTCAATTACCATAGAACTTTAATTTTTTAACTAGTCAAAAATATATCCACTGTATTATTTCAACTATATGACTCTTCTGAAAAAGTAAAACTATGAAGATAGAAAAGATGAGTGTTTGGAGTTGCTAGGAAGAAAGGGAGAGATGAATAGGCATAGTATTGGGAATTTTTAGGGCAGTGAAACTGTTCTATCATATTAAAATAATAGATACATGTAATTATACATTTGTCCAAATTCACAGAATGTGCAGTATTAAGAATAAAGCCTTATGTCAACTATGAACTTTGAATGATTATAATGTGTCAATGCAGGTTCAGCAGTTGTAACAAATGTACCACTTTGGTGGAAAATACTAATAATGGGAAGGGCCATGCATGTGTGGGAGGCATGGAAAATAATGAGAAATCTCTTCATCTTCCTCTCAGTTTTGCTGTGAAACTAAAACTGCTCTAAGAAATAAAGTTATTAATCTAAAAAAGATACTCATTGTCTATGCATCCCAGGATTTCCAGAACAAAAACTAAAATGAAAAATAAAAGATATTCACTGAACCTGTTATGATGACATATTTAAGCAAGACATGGTGACCCCCAAAATTGGAGATCATTGAAGACAAAAGTAATAGCATGTAGGCATTATTTCTCAAATTGAAGTAAACAAAA